CTGTTTGGCCTGCTGTGTTCATCCAGCTCTACACCTTGTTATCTCAGGTCACAATGGTCCTTATTTATGGCAGTATTTCCATATGCACACAGCAACAACTGATAATACCAGAACTGACATTGTTGCAAATAGGTAATTTGACTGTGTTATGTCCCCATTTGATTTTACAGGCTTTTTAGGTTGTGGCTCTTTCCTCGAGATCAAAGAAACACACTCAGTAGACAAAGCATTAATAGAGCTATTCCCAAAATCATGCCACCTAGCATCTTCCAGAATTGCTGCTTCAAATTCATGATCATTGCCTGCTTCAACTTCATAATCAGGTTCTTGATAAATATACCCACTTTGTTCCTTGACATCCTCATTGTATACTCCTGGATTAGCATCACATGTGCTCTGGGTCAATTCATTCGCACAAGAGTATGATGAACTTTCTCTCTTTGAATCATTTACTTCCAGATTTAACTTTTTATTTGATTTTGTCTCTGTAAACCAGTTTTCACATTTCTGGATTCCCATACATTCTAGTTTGCCTCCACACTTAGTAGTTTCTATTTGTGCATTTTCTTGCAAACCATCCATATCGCTGATCTGACCTGATGCCTGTGTGCCAATTAGCTGACATGCAGGAAGCAGTGGATCATTGTTCAATCGATTTGCATTTTGGGAGTTGTGTTCCACATGAGCACTTGGCTCACTGACATAGTCACCACTAATCAAAAGATGTCTATATGAGCAAACAGTACAAGAACTGCTTAATTGTTCACTGTTGGAAATTGAATCTGTGCTGTTGTTTGTTTGCACATTTTTCATGCATTCAACTTCAGAGTCAGCCCCATCATGGCCACTTTTTGCAATTTCAGTGTTATGTGTCTGAAAAGCCCTGCATTTGTATTCAATATTTTCGTTTTGATTTAATGTGTGCTTTTGATCAGAGTCTACGCCCTCACCTATTTTTTTCTGAGCATCAAAATTCAATTGTATATTCAATGGACTGTGAACATCATAAAAGCTTTGTTGCAGCTGATCATTCTGATAACCTTGTAATGCTCGAATCTTTTGTTCTTTAATTGAGTTTTTGTCATCGTAGTCACAAGAAACATTAGCTCCCTGACTACTACTATCACCCAAATTCAAAGAGTTGGCCTCTTTGGACATATCTCTTGGATTAAGGTTGGCATTTGGCATGGCTCTGTTTGCATTATTCTCGTTGCTTGAATTATCCACGGGGTTTTGACTGAGCTGTAAATCGACACTTGTTATTTCACAGCAACTTTCAGCCTGAGTTTCTGACTGCTTATTCTGAACATCACTCTGCAACACTCCTGGTTTACCAATGCTCTCAAAATCATTATCATTTAACTGAGGTCTGTGTGTGTGTACTTGTCTGCAGGTTGCAGAGTCATCTGCACAAGCTTGATTGTTTTTTATTTCTCTCCCAGCTTGATCAATATTGGCTGTGAATATTTCATTTATATTTCTTTTCTCACCAGTGCTACTCCGATCTGAATTTATGGTATGATTCCTTGGAGATTGGAAAGAATCACTGGACTTTGAATCATCAAAAGTACCCATCTTCACCTTTAAAAATGAAAAAAAAGTCAACTCATAAATCTCATTTCCATAATGCAATGCAAATTATGTCAAATAACTTACATTTAAGATATCAAAGCATCTAGTCGAAAAATACAGCGATGAATACCAACCCTTAATTCTAAACTTTCTAAATCAAGTTTTATTAACTTTGCTGTACAAATTATTTGGTGTTTCCAACTTAGTTTGTGTTTGTATATCACCAAAATAAATGTTAGTATTTTTTGTCACAGCATGGGAAAATGTAGCAAGAGTCAGTCATTGTTTTAAGATAATGGGCTAGATTTATCAGCATTACAATTGCATGGAAATTGAACTCGCATTTCCAACAACCACACATATACAATTAAAAGCAGAAATCTGAAACTTGTTGTACATAAGACACAGATAAGGCTGAATTCATTAGCAAAGGTGAGAACTTATTTATTTCTGTAAGACTTAAATTCCTGTCGAACTTCCTTTCTGAGACTGAAAAATAGCCTTTACAAATGTGGAGTCTCATAGCTTTGGATTTTAAATTATTGTTGGAGTTTTACTTTTACTTTTATTTCCTCTTTTGTCTCTCTCTCTTAATCCAATCTTTCTTGCCCTCATTATGTTGCTTTCTGTAATGACTTGGTCTTTGTTCCAGCCAGCATCCTGATTCAGAATCAATAGTTGTTGATCAAATCCTGATGTGCTCAAGAGAATACTCGGCTGTTTGAACATGTATCTGACCGCAACTTGCTGTTTAAATCCCCATAGCAAGCATGTGAGCAGGTGCAAAGTCCGACAAAATTGCTTGTACCATTCATACATTGTTCAGAGCAAAATCTGGCCCATTGCTTTTGATTGAATGTAGTGATTTTTTATGCTCACTTCACACAAGTTTTAGATTTTGAAAAGACAGTAAACATCTGTTACCAATAACAGGAATTGTCTTAATATCTTGAGGACCTTAAAAGCAAATGCAACATTTCTCAGGAAAAGAAATTGAACAAAGAAAAAAACTCTGACCAATTATAATCATTTAACTTAGAAAGTGAAATGGTGCAGATTTTTGACAGTACAGTCTTCCAAATTAATCAGAATTATGAACTATACAAAATTTTTTTTTATTGTAACCTCACAGAAAAGGTTTGCACACTTAAATCCTTCGGGTCACAGTAATACCAGCTATTGTGAAGGAAGAGCAGTCTGTCAGTACACAAAGAACCAGAGTTAATGAATGGAGGAAAGGAAAGGTGAGGCAACAAAATCAGAGGGGTTTCTCAAAAGGGATACATTTTTAAAGGTCACCAGCCAAATTTACAGCCTGATATCTTATTATTTAATGTGCTTCACGCGCAAGTGAGACACCAAATGGGAGTCCTGCAATGATCCTAGCTGATGGGTAACACTGGTCAAGTCAGATCCCATAAAGCAGCCTGGCTTGATAAGTTTTATTTTTCAGTTTGTTTATCATGGTGTTTAGTCACAGAACATATTGACACAGGACTATCAATGCTGTTCTAACTGAAGAGTACGAGTTAATTACATAGCAGAAAAAAAACTACACGCATATGTGACAATTTAAAAGGATCTTAATAGCAAAAAGATTCAACCTGTTTCCTAGCTTGGTCAGGGCAACAAATTCTAGACAACCACCAGCCTCTGGGTGAAAAGCCTTGCCCTCATGTCCCCTCTAATTCTTCTACCAATCACTTAAATCTGTACCCACTGTCAAGGAATACAGGTGTTCCTTGTCCACTCTATCCAAACCCCTTATTATTTTGCAGCTGACAGTCATCCTTTTCATTGACAGCTTCCCAGCCAATTCTATCATCATTTGCAAATTTCCAATCATGCTTTGCACATATAAATCCATATTGTAAGTCCTCATACACACCACAAACAGCAAAGGACCTAACACAGAACCCTGTGGAACATCACTTGCCATTTGCAAAAACACCCACGGCACGGTGGCTCAGTGGTTAGCACTGCTGCCTCACAGATCCCATGTTTGATTCCAACCTCGGGCGACAGCCTGTGTGGAGTTTGCACATTCTCCCCGTATCTGTGTCGGTGTCCTCTGGGTGCTCCGGTTTCCTCACACAGTCCAAAGATGTGCAGGTTAGGTGCACTGGTCATGCTAAATTGCCCACAGTGTTCAGGGATATGCAGCCTAAATGGATTAGCCATGGGAAATACACAGTTACAGGGATAGGGTAGAGGGATGACTCTGGGTGGGATACTCTTCAGAGGGGTGGTGTGACTCAATGGGCCAAATGGCCTGCTTCCACACTGTAGGGATTCTGTGATACTATGATCCATCAACGATTACCCTTTATTTCCTGTCACTCAGCCAATTGTGGATCCAAAACAAATACCAAAGAACTGCGGATGCTGCTCTAGTGACCTTTCTTCAGAAATTTTGGTCTACTTTCTCTCCACAGATGCTGCCAGACCTGCTGAGTTTTCACAGCTTTTTCAATTTTGGATCCATCTCACCACAAAGCACCCTCTGTGGGGCAGCTGCATCATGGCAAACTATGTATTTCCTTAACAAATAAAGAGAACAAAAAACAGTACAGCACAGGAACAGGCCCTTCAGCTCACCAAGGCCACGCCAACACATGATGCCCTTCTAAATGAAAAACCTTTTGCCTCTATGCAGTCTGTATCCTTCTATTCCCTAACATATATCTGTCAAGATGCCTCTTAAACATATCCCATGAGCTTTAACTTTTCTTAACAGTCTGCCATGTGGGACCTTGTCAAATGCCTTACTAAAATCCATGTCAGCAACATCCACTGCACTACCCTCCTCAATACTTTTTGCTACTTCCTCAAAAAATTCAATCATGTCAGTAAGACACACCCATCCCTTTTGAATATCACGCTAAACGTCCCTGATTAATCCATACCTCTGCAAGTAACAGTTAATCCAATATCTTATTATTGATTCCAGTCATTTTTACACCACTGAAGTCGGACTCAGCAAATTACTGTCAGAAAAATATACTAAAAACAAAGCGCCTTCTGTAGGGCAGTTGGATCAGGGAAAACAGTGTATTTCCTCAACAAACAAAGAACAATGAACGATATGACACAGGAACAGACCCTTTGACCCACTAAGACTCCACCAACACATGATGCCTTTCTAAACTAAAAACCGTTTGCCTCTTCGCTGTCTGTATCCCTCTATTCCCTGCCTACTCATATCCGTAAAGATGCCTCTGAAACATTGCTGTTGTTTCCATCTCCACCATCTCCTCTGGCAGCGCATTCCAGGCACTTACTGCCCTCTGTAAAAAAACCTCGGCTCTCACATTTCCTTTAAACTTACACCTTCTTACCTTAAACCTAGGTCCCCTATGAATTGATATTTCTACCCTGGGAAAAAGACGCCGACCATCCATTGTATGCTTGCTTCTTATAATTTTGTAACCTTCTATCGTCCTTTGACGTTCAACTGAAAACAAACTAAGTTTGTCCAATCTCTCCTCATAGTCAATACCCTCCAAACCAGGCAACTTCCTGGTAAACCATTTCTGTATCCTCTCCAAAGCCTCCACATCCTTCTGGTAGTATGGCGGTCAGAGCTGTACATAACATTCCAAATATGGCTGAACTAAAGTTCTTTACAGCTGCATTTTTATACTCTACGCCCCGACCGATGAAGGCAAGCACGCTATATGCCTTCTTGATCACCTTATCCAGTTATGTTGCCACTTTCAGGAAGTTGTCAACCTGTATGCCTATTTCCCTCTGTATGTCGATGCTATTAAGAGTTCTGCTATTTACTGTATGTTGCCCTCCTGCATTAGAGCTTCCAAAATGCATCACCTCACATTTGTCCGGATTAAACTCCACCTGCCATTCCTTCACCCAAGTCTCCAGCTTACCTATGTACTGCTGTATCCTCTGGCAATCCTTTGCATCATCCACAAACTTACTCATCAGGCCACCTACATTCTCCTCCAAGTCATTTATATTACACTACAAACAACAAGTATCCAGCAGTGATCCCTGTGGAACACCACTGGTCCCAGAACACCAGTCAGAAAAATATCCTTCCACAGCTGTTTTCTGTCTTCTATGACTAAGCCAGTTCTATATCCAACTTACCAGCTGACCGCAAATCCGATTTGACTTCGTCTTTTGTATCAGTCTGCTCTGAGGGATTTTGTCAAAGGCCTTGCTAAAGTCCGCATGGATAACATCTACTGTCCTGCCCTCATCATCCTTGCCACTTCCTCAAAAAACTCATTCAAGTTTGTGAGACATGACCTGCCCCGCAAAAAGCCATGATGCCTATTGCTAATAAGTCCATATTTTTCCAAATGTGAGTATACGCTTTCCCTAAGAATCTTCTCCAATAATTTCCCTCCCCCTGACATAAGGCTCACTGGACTGCTATTTCCTGGATTATACCTGATGCCACTCTTAAACAAAGGAACAACAATGTTGGTTGTTCTCCAGCTCTCTGGAACTTCTCCTATGACTAAAGATGATGCAAAGATTTTGTATAAGGCCCCAGAAATTCCCTCACATGCCTCCCTCAGCATACTGAAATAGATCCCATCAGGTCCTGGGAACTTGTCTATCTTAATACGTTTTAAAACACTCAACATCTCTTTTATATTGACATGCCCAGAATATCAACATACCCCTCCTCAGACTCACCATAAACATGTCCTTCTCCTTTGAATATCAACGCAAGGTATTCGTTAAGCACCTCATCAATTTCCTCTGGCTCTACTCATAAATCTTCTCCTTTGACCTCGAGAGGACGCACTCTCTCCCTAGCTACCCTCTTACTCCGTATATATATGATATATAAAAAGTACCTAGGAATTTTCCTAAATCCCATTTGCCTAAAGGATTTCATGGCACTTTTTAACCATGCTAATTCCTTGTTTGAGTTCTTTCCTGCTATCTTGGTATTCTTCAAGGGCTCTGTCTGTCCTCAACCTCCTAAATCTTACAGATGACTCCTTCTTCTTTTTGACTAAGCTCTCAATTTCTCTTGTCATCCAAGGTTCCTGTGAAAGTGAAGGATAAGATTGAGGAACGTGCTGATCCCAAACTCAACTGGCCTTTAAAAGATTCCTACATGCCAGATGTGGACTTGCCCTCGAACAGCTGCCCCCCCGTCTACATTCCCCAGTTCCTGCCTAATATTGTGGTATTTAGCCATCTCTGAATTTAGTACTTTCACCCAAGAATTACTCTTATTCTTATCTTTAACTCAGAGAAATATGGTCACTGTTGCCGAAATGCTTCTAAACTTCAATCGCCTTGCATGGCTCATTTTCATATACCATGTCTAGTATGGCCACTTCCTTAGTTGGACATATTAAATAAAAATCGAAAGTCTGCAGATGCTGTAAATCAGAAACAAAAACAGAAATTGCTGGAAAAGCTCAGCACATCTGACAGCATCTGTAAAGAGAAACCAATTCTGAGGAAGGGTCACGGAAACTTAGAAAACAGGTGCAGAAGTAGGCCATTCGGTCCTTTGAGCCTGTACCACCATTAAATATGGTCATGGCTGATCATGCAATCTCAGTATTCTATTCCTGCCCTCTCCCATCTCCCTTGATGCCTTTAGTTGCAATGGTCATGACTGGCTCCCTCTTGAATATATTGAATGAAATGGCCCCAACAGCTTCCTGTGGGAAAGAATTCTACAGATTCACAACTCGGAGTGAAGAAATTCTTCCTCATCTCAGTCCTGAATGGCTTACCCAATATTCTTAGACTGTGACCCCTTGTTCTGGAGTTCCCTAACATCGGGAACATTCTTCCTGCAAACAGCCTGTCCAGTCCCATCAGGATTTTATATGTTTCTATGATATCCCCTCTCATTCTTCTAAATTCCAGCAAATACGAGCTCCATCAAGCCAGTCATTCTTCATATGTCAGTCATGCCATCCCAGGAATTAGTCTGGTGATCCTTTGCTGGACTCCCTCAATAGCAAGAATGTCCTTCCTCAGACTAGGAGACCAAAACTGCACAGAATACTCAAGGTGTGGCCTCATCAAAGCCCTGGATAACTGCAGCATGGCATCCCTACTCTGATACTCAAGGCAAGCATGCCATTAGCTCTCCTCACTGCCTGCTGCACTTGCATGTCAACCTTCAGTGACTGTTCCACCATGTCACCCAGGTCTCGTTGCACCTCACCTTTTCCTAAACTGCCACCATTTGGATAATAATCTGCCTCCTGTTTTTGTGATCAAAGTGGATAACCTCACGATTACCCACATTATATTGCATTTGCCAAGTATTAGCCCACTCAGCCAGTCTGTCCAAGTCACCCTGGAGCCTCTTATCACCCTCCTCTCAGCACACACTGCCACCCAGCTTAGTGTCACCTGTAAAGTTGGAGATATGGCTTTAATTCCTTTGTCCAAATCATTAATGTGAACAGCTGGGGTCGCAACACAGAACCCTGTGGTACCCCACTCGTCACTGCCTGTCATTCTGAAAAGGACCGATTTATTCCAACTTTCTGCTTCCTGTCTGTCAACCAATTCTCCATCCATCTCAATACATTACCTCTGATAACATGAGCTATAATTTTTCCTTACTAGTCTCTTGTGTGGAACCTTGTCAAGAGCCTTTTGAAAGTCCAGGTACACAACTGCAACTGATTCACCCTTGTCCACTCAACTGGTCACATCCTCAAAAAATTCCAGAAGATTTGTCAAACATGATTTCCCTTTAGTGAATCCATGCTGATTAGGATTGATTCTGTCACTGCTTTCCAAATGCTCAGTTATTATATTCTTAACTTTGGATTGACTCCAGCATCTTCCCCACCACCGAAGTCAGGCTAACCATCCTATAATTCCCCGTTTTCTCTCTCCCTCCATTTTTTAAAAAGTGGGGTTACATGAACTACCCTTCAGTCCATTGGAACTCTTCCAAAATCTACAGAATGCTGGGAAATGATCACCAATGCATCTGCTATTTTGAGAGCCGCTTCCTTAAGTGCTCTGGGATTCAGAGCATCAGGCCCTGGGGACTTATTGAGTTTTAATCCCGTCAGTTTCCCCAGCACCATTTCCGGACTAATAAAGATTTTTTTCAGTTCCTCCTTCAAGCTTGCCCTTCTGTCCCCGAGCATTTCCAGAAGATTATTTGCGTGCTCCTTAGTGAAGACAGATCCAAAGTATTTGTTCAACTGGTCTATCATCTCTTTGTTGTCCATTATGAATTCACCTGATTCTAACTGCAAGGGACATATATTTGTCTTCACCAGTCTTTTTCTCTTCACATATCTATAGAAACTTTTGCAGTCAGTTTTTATGTTTTCCAAAAGCTTACTTTCATATTCTATTTTCCCTTTCGAATTAAACCCTTTGTCCTCCTCTGCTGAATTTTAAATTTCTCCCAGTCCTTGGGTTTGCTGCTTTTTCTAGCCAATTTATATGCCTCCTCTTTAGCTTTAACATTGTTCCTGATCTCCCTTGTTAGCCATGGTTGCGCCACCTTTCCTGTGTTACTCTTATGCCAGCTGGCATGTACAATTGTTGAAGTTCATCCATGTGTTCTTTAAGTGTCTGTCACTCGACCCGAAACATTAACTCTGATTTTTCTCCACAGATGCTGCCAGACCTGCTAAGCTTTTCAGCAATTTCTGTTTTGTTTCTGGATTATTTACATATTGTTTCAAAAAACTGTCCTGGACACACCTAGCAAATTCTAGCCCCCCGCCGACCAAAATCCACGTCGCTGGTACTAAGCAAGTCCCAATCAATATAGGAGAAGTTAAAATCACTCACTATATCAACCCTGTTGTTTTTACATTTTCCATAATCTGTCCATATACAATACTAAATTTAATCTGGATTTACAATTCATTTACCACAAGTGCTTTTTTTCGTATTCTCCAGTCTGTCATTTTGCTAGACAGTTGTTGATTTTTTTTGACAAGAGTAACTTACCAGAATACTATAGATGCCAGAAATCTGAAATAAGAGTAGAAATTGATAGAAATGCTCAGCAGGGCTGTGGAGGAAAGAGTTTACCTTTCATTTCAATGACCATGCATCAAAACTAAGAAAAATAAGAGATTGTTTGGACCAATGGAGGAGGGGCAAGGTCAAAGCAAGGTCTCCAGCAGGACTAAGGGCAGAAGAAATTAATCCTCAAATTAATCCTCCAGGGCCAGAAGGAATGGTGTTGGGGCAAGAAACAAAAGATGAGCCTAGAGCAGGAGTGCAGCTGACTGAAAGCAAAAATAAGAGGAAAACTTACATGCAAAGAAAGGATAGCAAACAGGACAGTTTACAGTCAGAAATTGTTGCATTCAATACCGAGTCATGAAAGCTGTAAATAACCTATGCACAAACAGATGATCTAGGAGCAGAAGTCAGCCATTCAGCTCTTGAGCCTGCTGTGCCAATTCAGTAAGATCATGGCCGATCTGTTTGTTTTATATTATCTACCCTATTAACCTTTGGTTCCCTCATCAAACAAGAATCTGTCTTAAAAATATTCAATGACCTTGCCTTGACTGCTCTTTCAGGCAGAGATTTCCAAAGTTGCAAAACCCTCAGAGAATGTTTTTTGTCACTCACTTCAGTCCTAAAAGGGAAATCTTGAAACAGTACTACCTACTGCTCAACTCGCCCACAAGAGTAAGCATTTTTCCACATCCATCTTGTCAAGGATCTTATCCGTTTCAATCAAGTTACCTCTTACTCTTCTCAACTCCAGTGGAAATAAGTCCAGCCTCTCTGGCCTATCCTGTTAAGAGGACTTGTTGATTCTGGACATCAGTTTCATAAATGTCCTCTGAACTGACCCTAAAGCATTTAAGACCAAGTCACCATTATCTTACCAGACCATAGAGTTGCTCTCTCATGAGAGAGAGAGAGAGAGATGAACGATGGTGGTTTAACCCGAGGGTCACCACACCTCAGAAGAGGGGAGAGGTTGAGAAAGAGAGTTCTTCATGATTACCCAGCTGGTGCGGGAACCACAATTCTTCTTCAATAAGGAAATTAAAATTACATGCATTCTAAGCAAGAAAAAGGAACAAACGTTAAAAACTAAAGAGCATACCAATCCACTTAAGAATTATATATCCCTTCTACTTAAGTCCATGGAGATCTGAATGACAGCACTGATAGTGGAGTTTCATATTATATCAGTAAAGAATTGCAGAATAAATTGCCACGTTACCTGTACAGGCAGTTTGTCATCTTTGTTTTCTTCTCTATCCATTGACTTTCCCGTTTCTTGAATTGGTATTTTGAATTCTAAGGAATGATGCTGAGAGGTGAAAGTAGAGGAAGTCGAAGACACAGAAGATGGTGATGTAGTTGAGGTTGTTGAAGAGACAGCAGGTACAGAAGCAGATACTACATGCGCACTGGCCAAGGGCTGCGTTACGGGGGCACCGGCCGAGGGCTGCGTTACGGGGGCACCGGCCGAGGGCTGCGTTACGGGGGCA